GATGGAGAATGAGCGTGCGAAGATCCTTCCAGATACAGACCGACCGAATGGTAATGGTGAACCAACCTGACATTGTGGTGGTGGACAAAGGGCAGAGGACAGCTGTGGTGGTGGATGTGACCATTCCAAGCGATACTGTGCAAAACCCTAAGGGGCCTCAGCCTCAGGTAGAGGACCCAAGCTTAGTGAGAGATAACCGCCCGCGCAAAGAAAACAGCCATTTTTATTTTTTTATCAATGCAATTTTTATATTTCGTTTGAGCCATAATACATCTATATCTAAAGGACAAGTTTGAATAGTATTTTGCTTAAAAAAGAATTCAGATATAACCACATAGTAGTAAATAGCATGCTTGTAGAGGGGTTTACAATTTGTTATTATTGTCATTATTTCGACACATGGCATTGAGAACCCTTCTGCATGAATAATCCAGGCGTCTTTAGAGCACTACATGTTGCTCTCCCCAGTCACACATGCCACATAACAGCCACAGAATTAGAAAGGCACTCCCTCCATAATCCTTTCCCTCCATCTCATTCCTGCCATCTAATCCAACATCTATCAGAAGCAGCCACCTCCTCGGCAGTCAAAATACGCTGCTAATCCGGGCTATATCCAGACATCATTGTGTACAGATAATTGGAGAGGCCTTGCTCATGTCTTGACTGTGGCACTGTGCTCCTTTCTGTGGACTTAGGGGGTCCTGGGCTCTCATCGTGTCAGGTGTGTGTGTGGATAGAGAGAGCGTTTGACCCCATCGCTGTTGGACTAAACAAAGATACTTCTAATCCTGGCGATCGCCCGCACCACTGATTATAGGATTGTCATGGCGTTTGGTCGCCCAATTCAGCTCAACTCTAAATTGAGTGAAATAGCATCAAATACACTACGATAACTGGTCAAACATTTTTATATTTAATACCTTGATATAGAAGGAAAACATCAGCCCGTGTTCCTTCACAGAGATGATATACATGGAAATCAAGCAGGGTTAAGATGCAAGATCCAGTGATAACTTCTAAATGGGCCCGAGAGGACAATAAAATATAAATCTGTGGAGTGAGCAGAAATGCCAGACACATGGAAATCAAAAATACCCCTCAAATCAGACCCACCTGCTAAAATATAGAAAGCTGAAGAGCGCTTTGATGCCCCGGACTCTAGATTTGACGAATGCACACAAAATGCTCTCACCGAACGTGTGACCAAAGCTCAAGAACACATCTGACCTGCCATCACGAGCAGCGTTGCCAGATCCTGAAGCTACCTTGGCTGAGAAAAGTGACACTATTAAGAAACTCAGCGATAGGGTTGCAGTTCATGAAGGGCGTTGGAAGCACAAAGAGAAGATTGTGGGGATACCTAAAGATGAGAAGGGTCAGCTCACTGAATTTTGGGCACAGATTTTCAGAGTTCGCAAAGTCTGTGATTGTGGACCATACGCATTTTATCCCTGGCCAAAGCCAACAAATCCCACCAAGAAGCCATGGAGTACAATTGTCTGGATCCATTTCATTCAAGGTCCCTTGGTTTATACATTTTGTAACTGATATACATTGTTTTGGTTCAAGCATTTACTCATGGACTTCAATTCAAAACACAAGACTTTGGAGAATCAGAAATGTCCAAAGACTTGCTTAGATATGCAAGCAGCAATCTTAAATAGACACAATCATTGATTTTGAACGATGAGAAAGAGTTCCAGTGTTTATAAATGTATCATGGAGATCAACCTTTACACTGAGAAAAAACTCATACACATGCAATGAAGCCTTGCATGATCAGCTGAACTCTCCAAACATTCATCTTTCCGTTATGGCTTTTTGTGAATGTGTAGATTAATGTGCATCTACTGTGCATCTACTGTGCATCTACTGTGCATCTACTGTGCAGAGCTGATGAAGGCCATAGATGACGAGAGTGTTTTATTTAAAGGACAATAATATGCATTTATATGTATAGGCGAGTATGTGTGTGTATGTATAAATTTACAGACAGAAATACTCAATAACAATTCACAAAGTATGACCAAAAAAGATACATAAGTTCAAGTTGATGAAGGAACTGGTGCAATTCTAACGGTTTTTATGGATTTTGTTCAAGATCAATATCCATTAAATATGTATTGAATATACCTCACACAAGTCCGACTTTGAGAGAGTTTACAATAAAATGAAAACTGAGTACGTTCAATTCAATGGGATTATCACACCGGTCAAATAGAAGTCTCTTAACTCTCCCTTATTATTCAATCATTGTTTGCTATCATACACATGAGAAGCAAATGCTCAGCAAATGTAATTACGCAATATAGCAAATCTGTTTGTTTTTGCTTCACGCAAAGAATGAAAAACCAAAAAACACGTTCAGGGAGACTGAGTGACAACATGAGTAAATGTCCAAATACATACACACACAAGTATAATTTTTACTTTTCTCTGCTTTTAAATGCATCACTGCCCAATGTCTCATAAGGATCTGATTGACAAGCAAGCTCACATGCAGAAGATTCGGTGTGGACCAGAACTGAACTGGTTTTCCACACCTTGATGGCGCACACAAGTCAACATTTGTCTTTAACAATACAATTAAAATAGAATAGGTGGCAGATTCGGTTTTCACAGAGCTTTGTAAATGCACTCATTCAGCTTACCAGGTTCAATCATGAAAGTTCCTCTGCAGCAAATGATTGACCAGTGCTCAGATCTGTCCCTGCAGCTTCAGGAGAAGTTTAGTTGTAATTGTAGCACCTTTTTAAGACAGACAAGGCAAAATATACATGCCAGAGCATGTATATTTTGAAATATACATGCTCTGGCATGAAATCCTTAAGTTGGATATTAGATAATTTATTAGCTGACGTTAAGATCTTCTAATGACAATAGTCATTCGTGGACTATCCATCCATCCATCCATTTTCTACCCTTTAATCCATTTCTGGGTCAGGGGGGTGGCAGTCAGAGATGCCACCCAAGTCTCATAGCACCAGCCCCTCACTGACCCTCTGCAGGTGGTGAGTCCACAGGAGGACGGCTGCTCTCTGAGTGTGAGCATAGCCTTGATCTTTCAGTGGGGGCTTTGGGCAAAGTGGGGTTAAGTGTCTTGCCCAAGGACACAACAACAGCAGTCATCAGCGGGAGTCGGTGGAGAAGGTGTAGAGGTGGGAATTGAACCCACGACCTTCTGGCCTTAAGGCCAATGCTCTACCAACTGAGCTACTGTCGCCCCCATTCGTGGACTAGAGCAGAGAAAATGGTCCAAACCAAGCGGCTACTCCACCTTGTGACCTGTCCTGCTCCACCCAGAGACTACTCCACCTCTGCGGCTGTGACCTGAAGGGCTGTTGCTGATTATTGCAATTGTTAGCTTTTTAGAATGTTTTTTTTTTGTTTTGTTTTTTTGTTTGTTTGTTTTGCTGCTACTGGACACCTGACTATCTCCTGCATGTGGGGATCAATAATCTATCCATCTACATGTTACCTATGATTTCTGACTGTATATAAACTGTATATTTGGTCACTAATTTGAGATTCCTGTGGTGTACCTTTCTCTGGACACAGTTTGAGGTCAGCCAGGTCCAGAAACACAAGTCATCTCTCACGCTGCATTGAGAAACTCAAACCACAGGCTCAGCATTGCCACAATCACCCGACATACAGGGCTTTAATTCATTGCCTATTCTTTTTGAAAAAGCAGGGCACCAGTCCATGTGTTTTGTAACATGAGGCGTGCCACTGAACGGCTGCCAGATAAACCCATAAAACTGTCTTCATCAGAAGAGCTGTGAACATCTCACGCCCTCTTATTTCCCTCTGTTCCTAAGACTGTTTGTGTTGCATCTTCTGTAAGAAAGGTGCTTTATAAATAAATCGATCAAAATACAGATTCTAAAAATCAAGGTTCAGTCTTTATCCAATAGCTTTTATTAGCTTGTAAAAATGGTCTATAATCGAGTCACATCAAACTAATGCATCTTATAATATTGCATCACCAGATCTTCTAGCATCATACCATTCCATACACAATTACCTCCTCCATAACTCAAAAAATGTCTTTGGAGTCAGTCAGTCTGTTGGGTTATTATCTCTGCTCCAGTGTTTTCTCCTCCCTACTGCAAAGACACGTGGGGGGGGCATCATGTGAAGACTCTGTCCTTGTCCTACAAACGACTCGAAGCGTACCCAACCATAATATACCCATAACACATTTGTCACATATGAATGTATTGCATTATTCTCACTCAAATTAAGCATATTGGATTGAGCGCACACTCATCCTACATATACAATCACACTCCTGTTTACTTGCGTTTGAACTGCCAATAGACTGAGTAAGATAAAAGGTGCTCATAAAAAGTCTAATGCCTGGGATTATTCTGCAGTGTTTGCTCAAAGCTTGACCAAACAGAATTAAAGAGGACACACACAGTAGCCCAGAGGTTTGAGGGATGTGGACTGAGGGGGGCTCACAAAAGAAGTTTGAAGTTGGATCGCAGCGAGGGAGGGGAGACTGCAGCCAGCTAAATCAAAGCCGAATGAGAGCAGAGCATCCAGGGGAGGGGGCAGAGGACCCTGTGAAGGTGTGCCAAAAGATGAAGAGGAGGGGATCAGAGACTGGGAAAGGCTGGGACTCTAGATCCAACACAAATCCCACATTCAAAGACTTTGAGGCCACTCATTCCTGCACATAAGGAATGCAGAGGAGGAGCCTGCATACGCACTGTGCGCTCATTTGTGGAGGCTGATGGCCAAACACAACATTTGCAGAGTACCTGCTGGAAGGGGGCCAGGAGAGTTCGTCAAAACATTGCATGCGTTTGGCTCGTGTTATCACAGGCACACATTTGGAGGCTGAGTAACAAGTGGACAAGCACAAGGGAAAACCTGGAGTAATGTAAAGAACTGACAGATAAAACCTCTTTCAGCACAAGCTTTGAGCCAGCCCCTGACTTCATGACTGTTGTTTGGTAAAAAATAATAATAAATAATAATGAACCGACCTGTGGTACTGGGTCTGTAGAAACTGGAACTCCTCCTTGATACGGTCTAGTGTTTCTGGGTAGGTTAGTTTCAGAGACTGGGGTGCACCTGACGCTGCAGCGGCTGCAGCAGCGGCCGCCACAACACTAGCCGAGGACCCTGGGGGTGGCTGTAGAGGTGCCTGAGGAAACAGAAAATAACATTTTATATGAGTCATTAAACTTGTGGCACACTTTTGAAATGCAAGGACAAAAAGAATCTTGCCAGATTTCACTTGCCAGTTTCCATCTGCCATGGAAAAGTGAGGTAAAGCTCTAACAATAGTGTCTGAATGAAACAAAGCACTGGAGCAGCAGGTATTTGAAGAATCCGCTGCTTGGACGGCTGTGTCCTTCAGAAACCCATGTGTTAGACACCCTCTCTACAGGCTCCAAAGCAATTAGGAGACTACAGGCATAGGGCTAATGCTGCGGGACAGGCGCACAAAGGGGTCTGAGAGAGGGCTGGTGGGCAGTCAGGGCTGGACGTCTCTCTGTCCATTTGGCTCAGTGTCAAAAGAACAGGCTGAAGAATCTGCCAGGGCCTGGGAGCTGCTTCAAGGGCCAACAGCCTGTGGTCAGGAGACACTGAGATCCAGTGACAGGCATTAATGAGCCTCTCCCCGGAGAACGCTCCGTTAGCAGCTTCATCTGATACAAATATCCAGGAAGGCTCGCCCACTGCTATAAAACGTCTCGCCAGTGTCAGTTAGGCACAGTCCTCCTCCCCACAGACAGTGATGGAAAATAAAAGCAGCATTTGTTTTCTTGTGGCACACATTCTTTACCTGTAGTCTCGGATCTCTGGCTCCCCAGTGATTGATAATAATGTGGCTGTTTCCTTGGGCAATTTGTACGCATTTGCATTTAAAGAAAAATATGGGTGGTTTTTCGAGTTTCTGGTGTGCTGCCTCAATCAGGCGAAGGCTTAGACAGAAAATGTCCTACCCTTGTTTGCATTGTAAATCTGATTTTTGTAATTCAGAACAGAGGCCCCAGAGTGGGGCCATGAGGGGGAGTCTACATTTTTATTTGTCTTTTTTTGTGTAATTGAAATCTGCACTGAAAGAACAATCAGGAGATTCAAAAGTGTCAAAGTATTTTCTATTAAAAACACAACAATTAAAAGAAAACGTAGAAGGCCCTGGGCCCACTACACATGCAGTTAAAGGAGCTATACCCGTTTCTGCAAGGTTTGAATGTTTAGCCCCGCCCCCAACTCGCTCACAGGTCTCTCCCTTCCCCTACGCTCTCATCCCACAGAGCCATCTAGTTTTATTTGCGATCTAATACATATGCAAACATTAGCGCAACTTCTTGTAAGCTCTAAGCACACTGCTAACACAATATATAACTGAAAGATTACCGCTAGTTTCGAATACTTAATTATAATGTATTATACAGCTCCTCACAGCAGCAAAACGCTCCATTGATTTGAATGTAATTTTTTTTTTAAACAATCATTTTTTCTTGATAACAGAACTCTCAAACATATAATGGCAGCTGGCCTTTGGCAACGCAATCTCTGTAATTCAAGCGTGTAAAATACTAACATTACTCCGCAAGTACGAGCTTTCAGCGCCCGTCACTACCGTCTGTGCAGAGAAGCTAGCGGAGCTAGCCATGCTAAATAGACAAATATCAATCAATCAATACCTTTAAATGTTAATTGGGGGAATACATTATACATATACATTCTTAACACACGTGCACAGAGGTTTTCAGAATTATTATAATACAACTTGTATGTAGTAATAAGCATTTTTATGAACTCAGAAAAAAAAAAAAAAAAAAAAAATCGGGTATAGTTTCATTAAAAAGTTTGGGCATCCCTGAGCTAGAATCAGTGCCTCTAAAAAAATTTGGAAATACAAAAAAATAATCTGTGTCCCAGAGACTAATATATATATATATATATAAAATCACATAACTCAGCATTAAAACGGTTATGAAAAATTAACATTTACTAGGGTTTGATTTGAGCAGAATGAGCCTCACATAAGTTTCACCTAAACCCAGAGTAATCAGGCAGGGCACCAGCATCTTATGTCCTCCGTCCAAATGCAAGACAACACAGATTTCCAAGCCTATAAAATGTCTATATTCATGTTGTCACTTGAGGAGTTAGAGCAATAACATAGACGAGTCCTTTCACATAACGTCCTGTAGATAGCAAACTAGGTCCTGATCTAATACACATTATAATTACAATTTGCTGTTTTGTTATTGTGCCTGTATATCCTTTAGTCAAGAGCCATCTTAATAAAAGCTATTCACAACAACTATGTCAATTAATTTGTTTTAAAAAAGGAGCGTACTTCTCCATGTACTACACTGACGTCTGTCACACACTAATGACGCTTAATGAGGCACTTAGAATCACAACAACTGCAGCTCTGAGCGGCAGCACTACCGTTCAGGGATAGATGCAACGAGACAACGAAATAAGGACTAAAAAAGGCAAAAGACCTTTGGAGCGTGCTGTGGCCTCATTGTTCCTCTTTCTAACAAGCTGCTCTCAATCTGTCGGCCAGATCCTCTCCTGGAGCACACACCAACATTACACACGCACACACAAACACAAGACTCCCACAAACAGCCCCGCTCTCCCCTCTCTCACACATTACTCTTCCAGCCGAGGAAAAAGAGCACCAAGGCCATTTTATAGAAGATAGAACATGGAGGAAAGAGACCATTCTCCATCACTTCACTTTTTCTAAATGGCTTCCTTCTTATTTCACGGAGAGGTACTACTTCCTCTGCAGCGAACAAGGAAATAATACACATTTGAATCAACGTTGAAAACAGGGACATTACGCCACAATTGAGAAGGGCTTTATATGATCAGGAGAATATTCCAGTCTTCTATTATTGATAAGTGTTCAAGGCAAGAACAAATGAGCTATCAATTCAGTTTTCAAATGAAAAGTAAATGATAAAACGTTGCCTGCAGAGACTGCCACTTTATGAGCCCTCAGCAGACGCACGTGTCCTGCTGCAGCAGTGACCAAACAGCTGACCAGGCTCTAATGTCATAGGTTAGCCGTCAGTCTGACCCTATGACCCAGTGCAATGGATCCAGTTCCACTGAATCACCCGATAATCCCAATCACGTCTTTACTCCAAAACAGAATACGTGGCATCTGCCCTTGAACAAAGCTTACATAGACGGAAATCTCACTTACACAATTACACACTACTCTTTTTGAAGTCAAGCAATCCTGTGTGGTAATATGAAAAGATTGTTGTCTGAGAAGTGGCCATGTGGACAGGGGAAGCTCCACTGATACGATTACAGAGCGTCTGATTACTCAACTGTTTAGCCAAATCAGAAAGAATGTGTTGAGATCCTTCCATTGCACAATGGAAACCGGGGAAGCCTATAAAGCTAAAGTTAGTAAGACGCTGAGTAGCCAAATTTGAAGAGGGAAGCCCATCACGTTCACTGTGACACACACAAAAAAAGATACATTATATTTGTGGTGGTGGCAGTACATGAACAGCAATAGCCACTAAAATGTTGCTTTGTTAAGTGGGGCACCACAAACGGCCAGCTCTCAGGACCTCACATACCCAGCGCCGGTGCATCACACCCTCTAGAGAATAGCCCCCTCATGTCTTAGTAAAGGATGTGTGCACTCTAGTTTCCATGGAATTAAAAGTACACTTATTTTATGTTGTTCATGAGGAGAACAACAGAACCAACCGAACCCGTTACTGCCCACACTGATGTATAGTTTGTTAAAGCAGAACTAAAGTTGTTCAGCTCTAGGAAATTGCTTCTTTCAAACTTCCAGGCTGGACTGGACTTTCGGCCGGTGCTCACCCACCACACGAAGGCTGTATGAAGCCGGTGGAGGGCGGCATCGGCAGAGAGGGTCTTTTGGTTATTGGTCTTTGAAAGACACAGTCGGGTCTCAAAACTGGTTGGTCATGAGTTTGAGTTGGGGCAGCAGTATTGACAGTGTAGGAAAAAATCATTCACTGGATAAACCACTTTATCCAGTTTATGTTTTATTATGTAGGGTGAGTCACAACAGTGTTTGGAAAACGTGGTTGAGGGTTGGAGCAAGGTTACACATGTGGGCAATTTGTTTGCTTCTGGTGGGTCTGAACTTCAGTTCCAATTAGACCGGAATGGGAGGAGCTTGGCGTAGATCACTGCTCACTCTAACCCTGTAAGGCATCAGTTTCGAATGCTTCCTGAACACAGTCCCAGCCAGGTGTTCTGGGCTCTTTCAGCAGGCCTAGGAACACCTTGGGATTCCCCCAAAAGAGCTGGAAAGAGGCCAGAGTCCCAAAAAACAAAGATAGTAAAGTGTGCCAAACGTTCAGTCATATTTTTTTGGAAGATAAAAAGTAAAACCATATAATTACTATGATTTAACACAGACATAGTACAATCTTTCCCGAATGAACCTTGTCTTGTCTCGTCCTTGTGGACCCAATCGTCTCATGGAAAATGGAAATATTGATTCTAACTGAAAGTGTTGTTTACAACCATGCGACCCCCCACTGATTTCAGCGCTGCATGACACGTCTATTTCCAACTTTAGGTTTGTACATCCATAAGGAGGGAAGATGCCCGCTTCACTCCCAGCTCCATGCAGCATTGCCCATTAGACTAGCCACTAATTGCACTGCTTACCCAGAGCCTTACATCACAGTAAACACCCACCCAGCCCTGTCTTCTCACTGCCGTCTCGGTACCTCCGGGAAGGCACCAACGTCTTCTTGTGCCACTAATCCACGTTTCAAATCATTGTTTATGCCTCCTTTTTCCCCTGGAGATTAATGGTCACCCTGCTTTACACCTAAGTAACTCCTTATATTGCACTTTCCCCTCCAATCACACAGTGTTAGAGAGTTGGAAGTGGATTGCTGATGTGGCAAGGTGATTTGCATTGTTCCAGAAGCACGCGGTGAGGAATAATGACACAGCTCTGTCGCCCCTGCTGCTAATCTCCCAGTGATTCCTGCACTTAGAGAGAGAGGGAGGGGGTCTGCCAGGCACCTGTTTTCATTAGCAACCACACATCTTTCTTTACCGCCTCATTCTCCTCTTCCAACCCGCAAACCTCGTTATTCAAATTTCACCGCTGTCACCCCACATTAGCAGCGTGCCACAGTTTGCCTGTCAGCTGGCTTAATTGCTGAAGGTGCTTTTCTTTTATTAGGTAAACCCCCCCCAAACACACACACACACACACACGTCTACGCAGGGACACACACACACACACACGCACACACACAGTTTGCTTGTTCTCTCCGTCACCACACACCTCTACAAAGTACCAGCCTATGAGCTCAGCTGATCAATAGCCATTCGCAAGGCAATGAACAGTGGTGAGAAAGCGGTATAGAGAATGCATTGTATTGTAAAGCTGGCAAAAAAAATCTCAAATCAGATGCTAAAAAGCAATTCTGAAACAAGTATTGAAATTAGAGTTGTTTTAGAAAGAATCTATAAGAAAAAAAAATATTACATAATGGAACATTTCCCAGACAGTTAAAGAGATATTAAAAAGGTTCATAAATAAAAGGCCGACTGTATTAACGATTATTTTGATTCAATCGATCAGTTATTCAGATCCTAAAACCCTGATGAATATGGGAACTTTTTTAATACATTTGACCAAAGCAAAGCTCTAGTGATGTCGCTGGGGGACTTGTTACACATTGGGTTGTTTGATTAAAAATACTTTGAAAAGATGTTTTTTATTTTGTTCCGCAGTTCTAATTGAATTATCAGAGGTTTAGGTCTATGGAAGGTTCAAACAACGATTAAATTGATACACTATATTAGTTGACAACTTTTTCAATAATTTATGAATTGTCATTAATCAATTCACTTGATAAAGAGAAATATTGACGAAGACAATGACGCCTTTCTTTGCAATGTACCCTAGATTTGTGGTTATATTAACAGTAATGGTTTTGAAAGTTTCACCACGTATTGTCAATGTAATTTCTTTGAGTGAAAAAGGAAGAAAAGAATATAGATTGAAAGTTAAAGATTGTATATGAGTAATTGTTATACTATGGGTTTGGTTCTTCTTGATGGTTGACGTAGCTGTAACAAGTTCTCCAGGGGCTTCATCATAGACTGTAAATATTAATCACGCGAGCTTTGTTTTGGTCAAATGTATAAATATCCTCCGTTCACTGACCTTTCTGGATCTAAACAACTGATCGATTAATCAAAGCATAACTGGCCAACTAATCAAAATAAACAACCCTAGTTGACATTCACAACACTCTTCTCGTGAACGCCAATCATCTTTTTAGTCCTGGATGAATGAAGATCATATAATACGGTCACACGCCTGTAAAAAAGTATGTGGGTCATCCCCTTTCCAACACCTCTGCCTTCAGCGATGACAGCCCTCTGCCCGTGTAGCATTTCAGCGATGTGGCGGCTTGCTTTAGCCAAGTGGCACTGGCAGGGGTTGCACACAAGACCGTGGTGTGTTGAGATGTGGTACCTGGGTTAAAACGGGGCCACCGCACACCACATTCCGGCCACTGTCTGCCCCCCCCACTGCCCCGGGACGCCTGACCGTACATTAAGATGTGGTTTGGAGCTCGCACAGGGAACACAGGCTAGATGAGAGGGATTGGGTTTAACAGTGCAAAACCTCAAAGCCACAGTCTGCCTCCTCTTGCCCTAGCTGCCTTCCTTGCACTCCACTACATACTGAAAAACATGTGAAAAGAACATGGAAGTGTATGGAAATCTGGCTCAACTGTCAAGGAATTTGCACGTGAAGCCAGCAGTCCAGAAAAGTGTGAATTTCTGTGGGAAATGTATTGAAAAGCCATTTACCTCACACTAATCTGCTTTCTTTGTATGGGACACGAATGTCAAAACACCATCAGGGACAGTGTGTGTGTGTGTGTATATGTGTGTGTGTCCATGTGTGTGGGGTGCCGTGGCAGGAGGACGGGGATGAGGGTTAGGCAAATGAAGAGCTCCTAATTGATACTTCATACAGCTGGAGAATCCATGTTGATGCTCAAAAGCCCTCTGCTCAAAACAAATGAAAAGCAAATTGGTCAAATGTTTAGCATGCACCACATTAGAATGCATGGAAGTACACAGAAACACATCCACTGCTTCTGTGGTAATATTAGATTAAATAACTCTTGAATGGCACTTGTGTTGGAGGTGGGTACATTGTCGAGTGAATGTGTCAACAAGCTTGCCTCACTTTCTGCTAAAAATACACAGGAGATATATGCACACTTTTCCAACTGGGTCAACTTCACAAAAGGCAAATGAATGAAGATGCAGTGATAATATGGTTATACGGTGGCCAGCCAGGACAAGCGAATTGCGCACAAAACACAAAAGGAAAGTTGTGAGAGGCTAAAACGTAAAATCAGACTGTGTCTTTGAGAAGTTATTCAAGTTATTTATAGGCCTATACTGTTACATTGTTTATTTCCGTGGTCTGGTTACAACTATATCTATTAAAAAAATAAAATAAAATAAGGTGTAGTGAAATCCCAGAGATTGACAAACAAACAAGAGCAGATAAGTACTTACTGGGGGTCGGTTTTGAGGAAACATTTTTTGCAGACTACGTGCGCGTTTCCTTGCGTCTTTTTTGTCCTTCGCTTCGTCAAGAAATGCAAGCTGTAGAATCACTATTACAGTCTTTAGAAAGCCATTTGGTCTGCTTTCATAGGTAAAGCCAACGCCAGTCTGGACTCGCTCATTCCCCGCTTCAAGCCTTCTTTGTTCTGGGCAGGATCTCCAGGCTCACGCCGCACCACGTCGCTCCAGCAGCCGCCCCGGGTGCAGAGACGAGCGATAGTTTCCCCTCGCTTTCACCGCGCCCTGCTCCCTGGAACTTGGCGTTTTCCGCTGATCAACGCTCTATCCAGTGCGGGTGGGTCGCATGGGGCGGTCCGGCCGGAGGAAAGGCAGATATTGGCTTCTTTCTTGGAGCTTCGAAGAGCGCCGTCTCTTTTGTCTTCCTCGCTGGCCTCCTCTCTTTTCACACACAGCACTCCCCAGTCCCTCTCTGCTCCAACTCCCCCCACTCCGAACCGAATGGGACATAACATATGAGTAACCTTAAAGGAGGAGGAGGAGGGGGGGAAAAGAGGGTCACTGCTTTTATTTCCAACACGTATTTTTTGTCACAATTTTAGCACAGATTATGCAAAAATTTGGGTTATTTTACGCTAATTGGAACTCGCCTTATGAATGCACTTCCTGTAATTCATTATATATGCTTTATGAGATCGCCTTAAAGCTAAAACATATACATAGACGCTAGAACTATATGCACGCTTATATAACACGGTAAAAAAAAAATCAGAGCTGGGTAGAAAAGAAGCGTAGTCTAATAAGAAATGTTCAATGATTGAATGAGATCTCCACGTGGGGCTCGGCTTTAGGCACCGTAAACAGAGGTAAAAGGAGCCAATCAGGTTTGAGAGCGCCCACGTGGGGATGCACTGACCGTTTGCTGATTGGTGCGGGGAGGTAGCACAATGCTGCACACGTCAATCAAAGCAGACGACAGGCACTCTGTGGGGTTAACCCTTTCCTGGGAGCAGGAGTGATTGCCAAGAGTTGTGTGGTGGTGCTAGTAGTGGCTGTATCAAGATTCAGTGGTTTTCCCGTCTTTTACCACACAAACCGGCGATGCATTAACAGAATGTACATTTCTGCAAGCTGTTATAATCTTGCAGGATACATTATCACAAGACAGTCCATCGTAGCTCAAAAAGGATGGTTCCCTAACTGGACGTCCGATTAGGTTATTTGGCAGTATAGTTGTTACCTGGGCTGGGGAATTATTGGGGGGGATGTGGGGGGAAAATTGGTATTCAGGTGGCGCGACCCCTTCAGCAGGGCTCATAATTAGAGAGAGAGAGAGATATTGAAAAAGCAATTTCTGACGGTGGAAATCACAACCTGCCAGAGGTGGAGTTGGAAAAATATAGGTGTGTGTGTGTGTGTGTGTGTGTGTGTGTGTGTGTGTGTGTGTGTGTGTGTGTGTGTGTGTGTGTGTGTGTGTGTGTGTAAGCGTGTGTAGGCGTGTGCATGTGTATATATGTATGCGTATGTGTGTGTGCGGGCGTGTGCGTGTATATGTTTGTGCGTACGTGTGTCTGTATATATATTTGTGTGTGTGTGTGTGTGTGTGTGTGTGTGTGCGTGCGTGTGTGTGTGTGTGCGCGCGCGTGTGTGTAGGAGAGAAAGAGCCAGGGAGAGGGGGAGGAGGAGGAAGAGAATAAAGGATGAAGGACAGCAGGGGGGATGCTGAGAAAGACGAGCCGGTTGGAGGGTTAGAGATTGAACGTGCACACGCTAATGAAAAAGTGTGTGTGCGCGGGCGTGTCTGTGTGTGCGTTAGACAAGCCACAGAGAGAGAGCGAACGAAAAGAGAGAAAGATTTTATTGCCATTTTTTTCCTATGAATTTTAATGCAAGGTGCTGGTCTCTCCCTCCCTCTCTTGCTGGAGTCTGGGAGCACATTTAAAAAGTCATGGGGAAAGCAGAGCTGTGCAGTCTGCTGCTGGTGCAGGGAGCGAGAGCATGTGGAGAGTGCATACGTCGTGGTGGTGGGGTTAAAGCTGGGGTACCCAACTTCCATGAATAATACATTGTCTTTGTCCAAACAGAACGAGGCTTGTAAAATGTTTTAAACAGGCCACTATATGTGCTGTCTTCATCTTCATCAGAAAACATACTGAAAGAGCCCCGCGAGTCACTATATGACACTTTGGGCTGAGAGTTGATTGGCTGTGAGGATGGTCTCTCTTTTTCACTTTCTTTATGTAAAATCTGATCTAAAGATGTGTCAGAGGCCTTGAATGCATGCATGTGAAAAGAGGTTCGAAGATAGCTTTAGTGTCAGCACATTGATGGAGAATTTTTACTTGAGACATGAGAAAAAAAATCGTAAATGCTCTACATAAATAAAGATTGCTTACTTACTTAATTTCAACATTTCATTAAGCCGATTTTTTATTATTATTTTTTGCCTATAGAGCCTTGTTAGTCACACTTTTAGCTGGGATTGCAGCTGATTGAGTTTGCATGGGCAGTTACTCGTCCCACTTTTCAATCTCAAAAATCGGAATGTCAGAATTCAATCCATAAAAGTAGAATAAGTAGAAGATAGAAACTCGCCCATGATAACTATTTTTGTATTTAGTTCAGTTAAGTTATTATTTATTTTTGTGTAATTCACAACTCGTCTCGGTGGACATTACAAAGTTGTCGATTCGCCAACATGTGGAAGCCATTGGTCCATAGGGGTTTGCAGTTCCCGCCAGACCTCTGAAGCTAAGCAGGGCAGGGCCTGATTAGTACTGTAATGGGAGACCTCTGGGAACACCAGGTGCTGCAGTGAGACTGCTGAGGCTGTAAAATGCCAAACTGTTGTTGTGTATTTAGGAAAGACACTTTACCCACATTGCCTGAATGAGTCTGGTGCGTGAGTGAATGATTGATGGTGGTCAGAGGGGCCGATGGCACAGACTGGTGGCCTTGCTTTTGGCAGCTGCGGCTACACACACACACACAAACACACACCTCACACATGCACAGAGCAAAACAGATTTTTTTAAAATTAAGGCAGCCCTTATGACTGCCATTCTCAAACGCGTATAAAACCCCATAGAAAGGCTATACAGCACGTTGAGGATCAATAGTTGTGTCTCAAAGAGTCTCTATAGGCAGATTCTACCAATAGTCATAGCAAAACCAATACACAATCTGCTTTAGCATAATAATGTTGCCCCTTTCTCTAATCTATGGTATTTTATTCTTCACATCACTGCAGAATGTTGTCAATGGAATAGAACAAAACCATTCAGATGCGAAAAGTGGGGTGTAAAACATCTCGAGCAATCAGATTTTGGAGACGCTCCATTGAATGAAAGAGCTGCTGAAGCCACCCAGATACAGCCCCGCGATAATATAGAAATCATACAAATATTCACCTGGGAACAGTTTTCTGAGGGAAAAATGCAATGGAGTTGGAAAGAAGTTGGACTTAACAGCTGTGTTTTGTTGACATGAAATCTGTCGTAAATTAGAATAAAAATACATGATTATAATAACTAATAGTATACCTACGTTTCAAACCACAAGAAATGAAAATCAGAAATATTTTTGCATATTTCTTTTCTGTTAAAAAGCATTATAGAACTCTTTACATCTGTCATTTCATGGTTCCATCACTATGGAGACAAAGAGGACCACCCTCAATCAGCCAATCATTTCTCTGCATCAAAAAGTGCCTCACAGTCTCTTTATTAAAAGTATCATTTAGTTTTCTAAGAAGATGAAGAATATGTTGTGGTCTGATTTATCCCCAAAGTGTTACAAGATTTTATCTGTTAGGACAAAGTGGAGTTATATATTTATTTGAAAAAAGTGATGTAACCCGCAGCTTTGAGGATATGCTTATAGCTTAAGGGAAATGCAAATGAGAAGATTATTCACTGAATATGTACCAAAAGAAAACACAACCAGCAGCAGCAGTATGGAGCAGAAGACAGCCACGCACTTTCAGCTCGTTCAAACCCACCATACTGGAGAAGAAGAAGAAGGAGAAGAAGAATAAGGAGAAGAAGAAGAAGGAGAAGAAGAAGAAGGAGAATAAGAAGGAGAAGAAGGAGAAAAAGGAGGAGAAGAAGAAGGAGAAGAAGAAGAAGAAGAAGGAGAAGATATGTTTTTGAATATTGTCACCACTTTTAGATACTTTTATGAATAAATGATGAGACCAAACAAATACTAACACTGACTTTTAATAGTTGTCATAGTTACCGTGTGTGAAATGTTTTGATGTCGCATGAACACACAGTTTTGGGCAATACTTGTGATTCAACAAATACACAAGCTTTTGCTGCCACATCTCCATATCTTTGAGTAAATGTGTGTTTTTCGGTCCTTCTCTGCGACTCCTCTTCACATGTGGGTGAAGGCTCGGGACTCCTGGCTCCTTTGCCCAGAAGGAGCTTGAGTGACATGAAGACAAGGCCACAGTGTTGTATACCCCCCGCCAGCCACTCCCCCTTCATTCACTCACTCCCCCTCCCCTTATCCCCCTCCTCATCAGACACACTGGGAGCCGGCTCTGTGATTTATTGGTCTCTGCTCCTCGGAGACCCCAGCCCCCCACCCCCTCACACCACTACACTCTCCACCACCACCGCGCCCCTCCACCTCCTCTCCCACCCCCCCCAGGCCCCAGGGGACGAGGGGTAATGACCCACATCAGCAGCAGCCCACGCACGAGCACATGCACGGAGCACACATAGATACACACACATAGACACACACGCACACACACGCACATACGCACACACACATATGTGCCTGTTGCAGAACATGGACAAACAGCCCAGAGCCTGACTCAGAGGAGAGACGCTGACACAGACGTGAGGACCTGAGCGTCTGTGCTTCTGATTGGCCACGACAAGTGACTGACATGTACCAATATGTATTGTACTCTACATTACTCTACATTATACTCTGCGTATAGTCACTCATCACTTTTCACAATTAAAGTTACGTGAAGCCTTGCATGAGCACTTGATTTCAACATCATCACACTTTTACAGACTCATGAACCAGAGGAAGATAAAAGCATCACAAATAACCGCAACAATAATCTTCACTCCTCAGAACAAACAGCTCAGTTCAGACTGCTGCAGCTTTGTTTTCTCACTTTTACTATTAATTTGAGGAAAAAGATTATGTGGAACAAAAAAAAGCTTTCTGCTCCTGAAGCGGCAGAAGTATTTGGAAATAAACTTGACGTTTTTTGAACACAAATAATCAGTGTTCTGGGCCAAAAGTAACTCAAAAAGTTAAAAAACAGTAATATTGTGACACAATCAACATATTTATCCTAGTAACTAGTAATATACACAAATGACATTTTTAGAGCATCTTACCCAATGCTCCTCGTGTGGGTTATATGTTTACTGTAAAAATGTCTGTTTTCTGTATCGGACACTGACGGTCACCTGAGTTTCCCTTAATGGGATAAATAAACTATCTACTAATTGTAATAATACTTCTCTTTAAATATTTCTATTTTGCAATCTGCCATTTGCAAATCAGCAATTATGTGGAGTCCTTTGGGGCAGACTGTTGTAATTTTGGTCTGTACAAAAATATATTGCTGTGACGGTGATGTGGAGGATCATACATTATCTGCATGAGGCTGAGAGAGCAGAGAGGATCAGAAGATTGCAGGAAGAAACCTTTACATTTGGTACGACATTATTGACTTATACCAACCCACTCAAGAACTCCGAAGGCCCACCTGTTCTTAAGGTGCAAACACAATACAACTAATATGAATGGTTTAATTACAGAGTCAAAACCTCATCAAGCAGATGAACAACGAGCAAAAACGACAAAAGCTGCAGAGGTCTGGATTGGTTTTATTGTTGGCACTCAGCATAAGCGTCATGACCAGAGTTTCACAGAATCTACATGGTTTTATACCCTGGCCCAATACAGCCGTTCCCCTGATCCTGCTGAGTTTGCCTCGGCCTCCAAATAACCAGAACATCAAGGAAAAGTTCTGGACTTGCTTATTGTTGTAATGACCAGCTCAGATTGAACATATCCAAATCAAATAAACCTTTTGCAGATTAGGCTAACCAATGATTACTGTTTTGGTTTTCTGAGACTATTATCTGAACAGTCTAGTACGGTAATTATTTCCTGGTCTTTCATTGGCTGCTGCAGTTTCTTTCCAGTTATAATAAATTTAACATGTCTCTGATCTGAGAGCAAGTTCTTTAATGCCATTGTGGGCGGCTTTAAACAACGTCTTCACAGATCTTAGCTGAAGATTAGAAGAATATCTAGACACGGTCAGTGTGTAACTCTGTATTTTGGATTCATGCAGACTGTTGAGAGTGAAGGAAAGAGGAGAGGTTAAATCTGATCCATGACTTGCAAATGCTCTTGACAGCAGTGCACTGTGTGAGCTGTCACTCAGGGCTCAGACCCTGAGCCAAGAGCCGCTGCTGAGGCCGTCCTCGCAACAGCCATGTTGTATGTTAAAGCTGAGGTACCGAAACTTTCAAACATCAAAATATTTTTAAAATAACAACTATAAAATCCATTACAAGTTTTTCTCTCTCAAAACTATTTATGATACGCCCCTGGCTGCGTGGATAGCCCTCTCGCCTCTCAACAAGAAGGTCATGGGTTTGAATCCCGGTTGGAACAGGGCCTTTCTGAGTGGAGTTTGCGTGTTCTCCCCATCTCTGCGTAGGTTTCCTCCGGGTGCTCAGGTTTCCCCTACCACTAAAAACATGCACAATAGGCATGAATGTAAATGAGAGAGTGAATGGATGGTGTGGAATGATTGGAACAATATCTGAACTCTGAACATTGTAAAGCGCTTTGGGTGACCTTGGTCTGTAAAATGCACTATATAAATAAACATTACTTACTTACTTACTAAAAAGGGACTCAAAAAGTAACTCAAGACAGAAGAAAATTGTTAAAAAAAATGTATTTGAGCACGCTAATGTCTTGTTCCTTGATCCGTGTAGCTTATTATTTATCGAGCTGGAGGTAAGGTTGGATGATGCAAAGGCAAGTATGGCGCGGCAGACTAGAAAGCAAATGCAAATAGAGTCGAAAAAATGTGTGAGCAAAAGCAAAACATATTTCCTACGAAGATGCAGCAGTAGCAGAAGAAGCAAAAGGAGCTGTGTCCTTGCAGTCTGCCTGATGATCGTCTTCTCCAGGTGTGCTCAGCAGGCCACACCTCTCCCATGGTCATCAGTCACATTTCTTTTTGTTTTGAATATGTAGCCTGCTGCCCATGGACTTTGCTTTACCTTCGTCAGACATATCCGTGTGGGGAGGTGATACCTGTTTCCGTCCTTCATGGGTTTCTCTACCTTTTGCTTCTTGCACCATTGTTTGTCTGCATCGTGCCCATCCAAGGACATACTGCTCTATTGTACTGCCTCTGCTTTCTCCTCTGGACCCCTCCTCTGGACCCCTCCACCCTCCTGGGCTCGTGTACAGTGGGTCACCTGGGAAGTTTTATTGATTTTTTGTGTTACCTCATCTGTTGTCGTACCTTTTTTGAGTTCTGCTTCCTATTCTATTGATTGCTTGGCCCGCCCTAAAGTGATTCGCCTGCGTCTTCCTGTGTATTTACTCTGCTTTTTCCCACTTGTGGCTTGTCCATTGTCTATCCCATGATTGTTCCAAGCTTGTTTTTAGATTTTTTGTGGTTTATTGTTACCCTGGATTTGGTTTTATTTAATTGAATTACACATTATGTTGTAGTTCTGCAATTTGGGTTAATTCTTTGTGTTCTTTCATTTTGATTTTGTTGTTTGTTTTTCTGTTTTTCACCTGTGTGTTGGTTCTGTATTTTGTCACATCTTAAAGTGAGAAAGAGAGAACTACCTTCACTCAAAAAAAGATGAAGACAGCATGAAGTGGCCTGGTTTGTTTACAACATTTTACTTTGACAAGATTCTTTCTTTTGGGACAAACAACATGTAATATTTATGATATTGTATGAATTCATTGTGATCAACCTCAGATGTGTGTGTGTTTTTTAAAAGCATCAAAACAGTATGATGTTGGCTCTGTGATCTCACTGTCAGCTTCACTTTGGTTGGTCTTTAAGCAGTATCTTACCACCACTATTACTTTAGTATTCAGTAAGTAAGTAAATAAGTGAGTAATCTTTATTTAAATTCCGCCTTTCACAGACCAGAGTCACAAAGCGATTTACAATTGTAGGCATAGTCTCTCACTCCACACAGAGATGGGAGCGGGGCCAGTACAGGAGCCGCATGCCAGACCTATTGTACATGTTTTTAGTGGTAGGGGAAACCGGAGCACCCAGAGGAAACCTACGTGGGCACGGGGAGAACATGCAAACTCCACTCAGAAAGGCCCTGCTCCGACCGGGATTCAAACCCAGGAACTTCGTGCTGAGAAGCGAGAGTGCTATCCCCTCAGCCACCGTGCCGCTTCGGTTTATTAGATAAAGTAATACAATGTATTAGTTAGAGGAATATAAAATGTAATATGTTTGTACAAAATAAAATACCAAACAACCGTTAGTGATTCCCAACACAAATATGGAGTTAATGAACAATATATTGCAATTTTAGTAATCAAACCCCCGTGAGTATAATGGTTGCATTATTATTAAAGTCATTAAGGAAGATCAAAAGGCCATTTAAATCACAGGTTCTGGTTTCAAATAGAAATGCATCTCTCTCGAGTTTACTGTCTAGTGTTTTCTTAGTCAGGCATTATCATCTTTAACAAAGATCAATAAATGCATTCATATATGTACATATAGAATCATACACATGTACTGTGCGTTATAATCCCAGTTCAACACTGCCATCTGCTGGGGCCATCGCATTATTTCGGGTGAGACCTGGTGGTTTGTAGACATATTTATCAACAGGTGCAAAACTGAAAAGTCAAACAGTGTGCGCATGTTCCTTGGTTTAGTTCTATTGGACCTGTGCATGATAAGTCTCTCTGCCCCATGTTTAATTTAATACTGTATAGTATTTTTTTAATGTAAATTGTTCCATCAATTATAAATACACAACCAGACTTGTTCTATATATCATATATATAATATGTGTCGTGATGTATTTATAATCAAGAAATAAGGGTATTTTGGTTATCAATGACTTTTGCAGCGGCCAAGCTGTCATTTTCAGATATTGCAGGTCTCATCCCGACCACGCAGTGGCGCGATTGTTCTTGTGTAAAGATCTGGCTGGTTACTTTTGGGTTGACTGGAAAGATATGATCTGCGTATATTTGATACACTCAAATGCACCGGTTTGAGACGATCGTTAGTTCATCAACAGTTATTAATGGTTATTGGCCATTGATAGTGTCTAAAGAACATATTTTATTAGGAATAGACCTCTCACCTGAGCTGCAGCAGTGTCAATAGGACCTCGGCCAGTGCGGACTGCATAGAGCAGTGAGAGTGTTTTGTCGGTCAGTTGCTTTTTCCTGCTGTTCAGCAGGATTCTTTCCCCTCAAGCCATAAATCTCAGGTTTCTCTCTGTACCGGGGAACGATTGGCTGAGCAGGAAGAAATGTGTGTACATGTAAAATAGAGGTTCCTCCTCGGGGGCCAGGGCCATACACCGGTGGCAGTGGTGAGGATGGCCAACAGCCAGGTGCGTCTTTACTCCGCCTCCACGACCTGAATGTGTCCTTCTCCTCAATGGCCCCTGCGCTGGCCCCTGTACTGCCCCCTGCACTGCCCCCTGCACTGCCCCGTGCATTGGCCCCTGCACTGAGCACTGCCCAAGGCCCAAATACAGTGTAAAGCAGTTGGTAGTTTTGTGTAGCCGTTCTTTGGTTAAAACAACCAATAAAAATGAAAGGTATATATATATATATAAATGTTTATAATTTTGTATATATAGATATATCTATATATACAAAATATCTATAATGATCGAATAGCGCCAAATTATTCTGAGAAAAATAGTATACAACATCTTAGTATCTAGTTGACCAACCAGCACTCCCACACTAATCATCCATGCACACACCATTGTGGGCGACGGGTGACATCGTTACACCAGATGCCACCCCACTGCATCTGGTGTTCCCAGAGGTACACCCATCCAGTACTAACCAGGACGTGCCCTGCTTGGTATCAGAGGTCTGACGGGATCAGGCTTTCACCCGCAGGGAGCGCCACACTATCATGTGTCTGGACATGATAGAAGTCTAGTCTCTAGTGTGATATTGCTGAGGTGAATAATTTGGTATGGCACCAACCAGAGCAAATGGGTCACTCATACCAAAATATTGGTCTATCCAACCATTCTGGGTTTGGCCAAGCAGTAGTTTTCAAACCAATGTGTTGGTGTGCCATCAAACCTTTGTGCGTCATTTGTGAACACCCGTTTATTATACATATATTATTATGGTTTACTGTCTGTGTGCACGTTTCTGTCTCATATATTGATTATGGACGAGTTATTGGCAGGCCTCAAGTGCCCAATTGGCCTCAACATACGTCAACCATTTGGCCAGTCACGGATCATTAAGAGGAGCCTCTTAGATACTGATTATAGATTGGTTATTGGCTGAAGCCACATTGTCTAATTGACCCATGTCACACCTTGAGTGCTCCCAGTGCTCCTCCATGAGCACTGTACCATTGTGGATTCTGTGGTAAAGTGACATATGGGCTGTTTCCACATCCCCAGGATACTGCCTCCTTCAGACCAGAGACCAGGGTCCAGAGTGAACCACTTAATGTTGGAAATGCAATACAAACAATGTGGACAGTAGAAATACATGATTACTATTTGGATTTTTCAAAGTTATACAAAATAAATGTGGAATAAATATATTTTAGTAATAAAAAAACCCCAAACAAAGCCTGTTACTGCCTCTGTAATCTTCTTTGTATCTTATTTGCCATGTAGTGATAAACAGTAATGACCTAAACTACACGTTGGTTTTAACCTGGAGAAAACAGAAGCTACAGAGCACACGAAGCATAAAGCTGCATCCAGGATGAGTGTTGTGAGGGTTTAGATTCTGATGTGCTGTTTGGTTATTGTGTGGAAACACGAAACGGTGCGTCATACTTGTTTTTTTTTTTTTAGAGATATTGATTAGTGATTGGTTATATACTCCCCCACAGGTTTCATGGATTTAGGTTCATTCAACTCGAGAAGGCCGAAAACATCAAAATAAAACCAACTTAGAAATAATGAGAAGTAATTGGTTAAACTGCTTAGCATCCGAGATCAATCATTCAAGACATTATTAATAAGCAGCATCATGTAACTCAAGTTGACGATAAATGTGGAACAGTGCAAAGCAAACAACTTCAACCTATGTATAAATAAATATATAACTGCCGTCCATATCTTTATTTCAAATTCTTCGGTTGAAAATCACAAACAGAAAAGGGTTGACCACATAAAAAGTCTGATGAGACAGAGCCACGTCACCGGGCTGAGGACGCAGCGAGGGGCAACATTCAGATGATTTAGATGTACACTGAGACTACCACCACAGGCACCTCCAGCTGTTTCCTGTTAGAGATGTGTTTTCAATGTGGAGACTCCAGAGACTAAAGTTCATTATGGGATATCCATGAACCCGCCCCACTAAAGCATGCCGCCTTTCCCCTGCCTCAGCTCCACTCTGGGGCCTCACAATCACTACCAGGTGAGGGGACCGGGCCCCAGAGGCCGTCATGGCTGCGGTGTCCATTGACGTCTGCTTCGGGCTCCACTGCACACAGTACAGGAACAGGAATCACAAATGAGCAGGAGACAGGAAGAGGCCGGGCTTTGAAGTGGGTCAGGGTTAGTATCTCCGCCTTCGCCATCACTACAGTCCAGCAAAAGATCTGCTGAGGCTTCTGGCTTATGTTTGGAATATGAGAGCATTTTTGTGGTTGGTACTACTGACAGAGAAAGCACTAAATATCACATTCATGCCATACACACCCTAATGTAACATGAAACACTTGTCCAGGCAGAGGCTCACATCCTTCCAGAACATGGGCCCAGACGCTTCACATACAGTATTTCTGGCTCATAGTGGCAAGCATCCAAGATTGCACATCAGAATTTTTACCCAAAACAAGACAAGCATCAAATAAATTAAAGTTTACTCAAAAAGAAAAAGTAAAAGTAACTGAAGTAAAAAGAGCAATGTAAATAAAAGTATATATAGAAATAATCATATTAGTGGTATGTTTTTGTATTTAAAGTTAAGCTTAGCTAAATTAAGTTAAGAATGTGGTAAACCAGTCCACAGGGAAAAGCCCATTGAATAAGTATGGGGAGAAAGATAGAGAATTTCATATCCACGGAGCAAACAGCACAGTTAAAAGAATGACAAACCACTTTCAAACAAAACCCACCAGGATGAAAGGGGAAAACCCTACAGAACAGAAACACACACAGATGTCAAAACTGACATCATGAGTCCACATGCATCACACAAATGTAAATGTACAAGTGTCCCAAACCAAGCTAAATGACAGCACACTGGAATGCTGTTAAGGCTGCCTTTGAAGCTTAGGAGCAGAAAATTGTCTTCATTGTCTCCATGGTGCACAGAAGTAAAACAAGCTGTGCTGAATAAAATGTTAAGGTAAACTCAAAAATAAATCAATGGTTTTGAGTCTATAAACGTATACGCATATATAAACCAGAATGTCTCCCAGCATTTAACATAAACCAAAGCATTGTTCGCGCTCTGTGCTGGAGATAGTCGTTTGTGAGCCGTGATCCTTCACACTAAAATACAGGACGGTTAGCTTATCCGTACATTTGTGGAGATCTTCTTTTCTCCGTTAGTCCAGTGGTGTGAGTTCAATTAGTGGTCCACTTAAGGAACCAGACTGAAAGCAGTCTGAGAAAGGCAGAGGAATGAGCGCGTCCACTGGGGCAGGCCTGGCTCTGTGGTGGGGTCCTTCAGTCCTACACGGGTCCAGAGCTGGGGTGGTAGTTGTAATGGTTGCTGTGCTCAGAGTCTGCGATTTGGAGGCTGGCTTTCTGCTCTGGGCCTTCACTCTCCTCTGTGGCTTGGGTGCAATGCCGCGGAGGGCGTTTCTTGAAGAAGTCGGACACAAAGTGCACCTGCAGAGGAGAGTGTTGTAAAGATGTGAGGCACACGACGGCTGGAAATACTGAATACACGTGCAGCTGTTCACTAATAGACTTCTGAGCGGAACACTATGTCTGCAGCCACAGCTCTATAAGCACTAAAAGAGGCACTGGAATGTCACCAGTGATTCAAAGGCTTCATGGAACAGGCCTGATTGATTGAGGAGTGGAAGAATCTGCCAGAGCTGTGCCTTAAAGCCAAAATAATTACTTTGATGAATTTTATTAATTGATTGGTTTAAATCCTAATATTGAACACATGTCTGTAGGCAGAAATTACACTATGACTAAATGCATTGTTGTCTCCAGCTTGAGGAATACGTACATTGAGCACAGCGACCAGGGCTCCTTGCAGCAGTCCCACCAGCACATCGCTCCAGTGATGCTTGTAATCAGAAACCCGAGTGTAGCCCACATACACAGCAAAGGCCACCAGGAAAAACTGGATGGTCGGCCGTAGAAGTCTGGCCCACCGAGCAGAGAGTCTGGCCTGCACATAGAGCTGAAGGGGAAAGAAGGTGGTCAAAGAAAGCAAAGAATGTTCTCTCTGATTGTGTTTTTAAAATGTCTATACCAGTGTTTTTCAACCTTTTTTGAGCCAAGGCACACTTTTTTCACTGAAAAAATTTTGCGGCACACCTCCAGGAGAAAACGTAAAAATGTATACAGTACTAATGTAAAAATATATACTGTACATACTCTGTGTGATATATAAAGTATATCTTATCTTATCTTATAATGTATACAGTATACTCTGTAGCCTATATTCACAATATACAGTTATTCTCATCAAAATGCTTAAGTCCAGGCCTTGATATTAAGCTTTATTTAATATTTCTCGATACAATTAACAAGAGTTTGGGAATAAAGTGGCACTAACTGTGTGGAAAAAAACTAAGAAAATCCACTCTCTGCCCAAATAGTCAAATAATAACTCACACAAAGAACATGCATTGTTAGTGCATGGGAAAAATTTAGGTATCCGAGCTTTAAATTCAGGAGTTTTGGATGAGGGACACGGGAGGTCCTGAACGCGAGTCCATGGTTCTGTCCGGTCCGCATGTCTGTGGTTCTGTCCACTCGACTATGGTCTGCGCTCGGTACCCAGTTCAGAAGTGCGTTCGCGAGAGCTGTTGTACAAAAATTGTACATTTCATAGTTAAACCACTACAACGCGGCCACAGCTGCCCCGGGGCAGAGCGGAGGATGTTAATCCTGTTCAAAACGGCATAATTCATTTTCAAAAACGTCTCTATCACTTTCACTTCTCACTCGCCACAAAGCTCTTGTCTCGCTCCCTCCCACATTTGTTGGTCGCATCCAATTTTACCTTTTTCGCCACAATGCTGACCTGTTACAGCCAGTGGTCGCATCCAATTTTTCAGTTTCAAAGTACTTAGCTATCTGCTGCCATCTACTGATTTGAAAAAGTATTACATGGTTACTCCACAGTTCAAAACAAGTCACTGCTCGTCAACAGCGAATGCAGTTATTTTTAGACAAAGTAGACGAATTTCTCACGGCACACCAGACAATATCATACGGCACACTAGTGTGCCGCAGCACAGTGGTTGAAAAACACTGGTCTATACACCAAGGACACTTTAAAAAGTTATCATACATTTGGAGGATATAGAGCATTTCAATAATTTCTACAAATACATTTTCTCTTTCATGCTTAATGGCTGGCGCAGAACCGTAGCCTTGATATTTCATAAAAACATAGAATAGATAAAGATGTGCATTTCTATGTTCTGACTGGAACACAAACTGACATCTGACCTAATGTTTCATGTATTTCAGAAAGTTACTTCTCAATTGATGTATTTCTTAACGCCCCCTCCACTCACCAGGTCAGTGAGGCACCATTCTGGGACAGGTTGCAGATGTGTCAATAGCAAATCTTTCACAGCCGGCAATTTATGATTTTTGGAGAAACAAATATTATGTATCATCTCAAAGTCACACAAAGGTCTGCTCGGGGGAAACTCACACCCATCACAACTTGTTTTGGAATGATGCTAATGCTCTTAGCTGTCTTGAGACTCTCTCAGATGAACAGTAGGGGTGGGAAACTAAGGGTACCTCATGATACGATACACGATACAAAGCTCACGATAACGATAATATCACGATAACGATATCACAATAACAATTTTATCACGATATGACGATTATTGATATATTGGTCAGAAATATACAATATGCCAATTTATGGCATAAATAAAAGAAAAAATACTCTTTATTTCATGATAAATAAAATGGAGATGCGTAATGTAGCCATATATTAAGTATTGAAACCAATTTAAAAAAAATAATGTGTAAAAAAACAAAACAAAACAAAAATTAAATATATATATTTTTTTTTCAAAATCGATATCGATACTTGGCAAATGCATATCGATAATCGAATTGCGGGAGAAAGTATCGCGATATATATCGAAAAATCGATATATCGTCACACCCCTAATGGACAGTAAAAGTGGTGACAAAGCTGAAGAGGGAAGACATTTCCCTGTGTAGATTTTATGAAAATTACATGTGAGGCTGATATCAGCTCAATGAGCGCATGGATCAGAAAAAAATACATTGTTGACAAATGAAAACAGCTTTGTAGTAAGTAGTAGTAGTAAGTAATCTTTATTTATATACCGCCTTTTCACTGCAGATCTGAGTCTCAAAGCGGTTTACAGTTGTTAATTTGTATTTATTTTTTTGGGCATTTGTCTCTCACTCCACACAGAGATGGGAGCGGGGTTGCCAGTACAGGAGGCACATGCCAGAACTATTGGACATATTTTTAGTGGTAGGGGAAACCGGAGTACCCGGAGGAAACCTACGCAGACACGGGGAGAACATGCAAACTCCACTCAGAAAGGCCCTGGTCCGACCGGGATTCGAACCCAGGACCTTCTTGCTGAGAGGCGAGAGTGCTATCCACTCAGCCACCGTGCCGCCCATGTATGGTAGTATCATCCATGGATGTTGTGGTCTAAATCATAAATGTACCCAGAGCAGACTCTCATCTTGGTCAAGATAGGTGGGGAAAGGGTAGCAAATACAAACCGTCACACTGCATTAAAAACAAAAGACAGTGGACTCCCCGCAGCCCGAGTGAATAGGGCTTCTATGCCCACTGTGATTGGCTCTTTACGTTTGGGAGTGTGGCTTAGCCATAGGTCAATCGAACCCTGTGTTTTTTTCCTTTCTCTTTTCAAGTTCTAAAAGGTAAAAGACTGACTTGTTCATAGTTTGATAACTTCTGGAGCCACTGAGGTCGCCATTTTTGAACCATACACAAAGTATTTGTGTCTTATGTTGATGCATGTGAAAATGTGCTGTGCAAGTTCCAAATAAATAAATGACTACAAAAGTGTGGCATTGATAAATGACTCACCGCCAAGAAGAGCATGCAGTACATGCCAAATGAAGAATGACCCGAGTAGAAAGACAAACTGTAGAAACACAAAACAAATACACAATTCATGACATTGACATTGAATGCACAAAGTGAAAGGTAAACTCTCGACTCTAGTGACTCAGTGTTTCTCAAAAGTGCCTACAGATCCCCCTGTAGGCCAGCCACACTAATGTTGCTCTCTGTCACACTGGATGTATAGATATATATATGGTATATAATATATAATTTTTAAATAGTAGCACTAATTTCCCTGGAGTCTGAGGAGCTTTTTAAAATTATAGTCATACTCTGAATTATTCATTCTACAAAGTCAGAAGTTTAATTAATTTCAAACAGTAAGAAAATCATGTCTCTTTATTAACTTCCGGTTTCCTCTATATGTTGTAGGCGCCATTTCTCTAGCGGTACTTGCTTTGAAAAGAGAAGCAGTAGAACATGTACTTGCTTCATACCTGGACTCGGTGACGTCCTGGGGCCTCCCGGTGCAGTTGGCTGCTTGGATGTAGCTGATGCAAACTCTGGGCGCACACACGCTCATGAAGTTGGGCCTTGGGCGGCCGATGGTGTACTTGGCCAAGTCTGTGAGGGACTGGCTCACAGCTCCTCCAAACATAAACGTCCCCACCACTTTGTACAGGGCGGCTACATACTGGTTAAAATCTGAGTTTGAGTATATCCTCTTGCTGTAGACCAAATAGGCTTCACCAGATGAGATCTAAGAAGATACAAATATTGTATTATACACTGTACTTGCATACTGAACATCACTTAAAGAACCTTTCACCACTCCATGGACACACTATTTCTACCATCAACAGATAGTACAAAGACATTAATCCATAACCTATCAGTGAGTGGAGCTTACTATAATGACGGTGCAGGAGATGGTGACAGCAGCCAGCATGCCGTGGGTGATGGTGTCAGGTTTGAGGGGGTACAGGATGCTCTCATCGTCACAGTAGATGCGTCTGTGATACGGCTTGGACACAATGGTCATGACAATGAAGGGAAGTGCCGCTGGAAAACAAAAATGCACCTTGTTAAATATTTTCCATATTTATCCTGCACCAGAGACAGAGCTCTTGTTACAATAGATTATGTCTGTCTGCCGTATCTACAAAATAGACATTTAATTTGTGTTTGACATCATGTCCTAAGTCGAAAAATATTTTTTTAGAGGTGGTCACACAACAGCTTGGTTTGAACTGTCAGACTTTGAACAACAACATTATAATGATGAAATAACCCATAGGAACCACAGTGTTGGGGCAGAAATGCACAGCAAGGGATAAAGTGTACACATAAAGTGTACTTGACATATCAGGGTCCAAGCACAATAAATCACACATGAGCGAACGTAATTTGAGTCTTGGCTCACAAAATAACAACTCCATGATCCGGGGAGAAAATGCTCTCAACTTCAAAATTACCGGTGGTTCCATACCTGTATACCTGTGTGATGAATTCACATAAGTCAGTATCATTACAACTCTGTATGTAATCTCTATGCAACCCCACTAGTTCTCATTAAAACACAGTGAAAAGATTTGTATTCCAGCTGTTAGAGCAATTTGATTCTGAAATACTCAACAGTTTTGACAAAATTAAATTCAAAGAAACCACAATGAAAAAAAAACACACACAGTGTTAGAGTCCAATGACACATATAAAAAAGCACAGTAAAATCACTCCTTTGGTTCCTTGAGTGTCTTGGGTGCACTTCAGTGCCACGCAGTCACATAAAACTGTCAGGAAAGCAGCACTCTGGACTCACCACTGGTATTATGTTTCTGTGTAAATGATTGGTGAGCCGCTCCCATTCTCTCCAAGCTGGAGCTGACATCATTTCAGAAGAGTTTCCAGCAAAGACTGACTGATGAGAGAGAAGGAATCTACCCCACCAAAGACCGAGACTGAAGGAAAATATACAAGAGGATGTGGATCAAGATTCAGTGGAATTCGCACCCCACCCAGGTGAACGACACTGTACAGGGAAATAAAATGCAGAAAGCTACCAGTTAAATGTGAGAGGGACACCTAAAGTTCAGACTTTTGTTGTGTCCTTCGACAGAACACTCAAACACAAAGTCTAAAGTATGAATCCGGGGTGACTGTTTGATGGCACAGGGCACATGTCTGCCATCCCACTCCAAACTATGTTACAACGTTGTTCCTTATCAAACAATGATGTTTGGACTTGTTTTTAGGCCCTGTTTAGACAAAGACGATGTGGAATCCTTGCAAAACAATTAGCAAATTAGCGCCCGGCCAGTAGGGGGCAGAAGAACTTTACGACACACGTCACGTGTTGTAAAGTCAGCCCTCCCAGCAGTATAACCACTTCTACGTCATGGTGCTACGTCCCTTAGGACTTCGCTAGTGGGATATCACGTGACCCCCAGGTCACACGCCAGAGAGATCAAATATATAAAAATATGCTCCAATCACTAGCGACCCTCCTCTATAAAAGCCCCTGCACAAGGCCGCACCCCCTCTTTCACTCTGGCGCCGATTGAGATCATACTTACATCTACTACATCTACTTTGTCTGCTGAGATGTCTGCCTCGACTGCTTGTCCGATTTCCCCTTCGCCCTCCGGCGTCGGACGTCATCGTTGCTTGGAGTGTCGGGTCAGGCTCCCGCGCACAGACCAACTTCACGCTGTTCTTGTGCCTGGGCTCGGGCCATGCGGCGGAGAGCGCTAGCTGCGCCTCGTGTCTCGCTCTCCCCTGAGAGGAGAGTGGGCGCAGGCGTGCGTTCTCCGGTGCTCCAGCGCCCGGAGAACTCCAGCGAGACCCGAAGCCGGACCGGTTCCCTCTGGATCACATGCCCAGTCTCTACTCCTCCGTGGCGGCCATGATGAACGCTCCTCTACCACCGCAGCCGGACCAGGCGGTGGAGGACTTCACCTTGGTGGGCGCCACCACTCGAGGGAGGAGGAGGAAGCAACCCACGTTGTGCTCGCGGATGGACCTGATCCTCCATTACGCGACACGTGAGTGGCCAAAGCCCCTAGCAGCCAAGAGGCCTGCTCTGGGGTACGGCATGTACTGCAGCGTGCAGGACTGGTCCTGGACCGGTGGTGTCCCGGACATAGAGGACTCAGTCCGCATGGCTCTGCAGCCTTCCGCATCCGTGTGGCCCGGCACCAGACCTCTCCTTCCCTCCGAGCGGGACAGGATGTCTTTGGCTATGCTGGGCAGGTGTTATGCCAACGCGGCTCAGGTCGTCGCCCTGTCTAACAACATGGCCTTTATCACGGGGGCCCTGGATAGGTCGCTCTCCGCTGGCCAGGCGCTCAGAGGAGACCTCCTGACAGAGGCGAGGACCACCTCCGCGGCTCTCCTGCGCATGAGCCAGGCCTTTGCCGTGGATGGCGGCCGCACCATGGCTGCAGCCCAAGTCGGGGCCAGGCACCTCTGGCTTGGGCTAGCTGACATCAGGGAGGCAACTGTTGGACCTGCCTGTGTCCCAGACGTCCCTCTTCGGCCCGGACATGCAGGCCCTGGTGGACAGACTGGAGTCTGCGGCCAAGGACTCGGCTAGGCTAGCAACGCACCTAGCTCCGAGGCGCGAGGCCCACCAAGCTGCACGGAGCCTGGACAGAGGCAGAGAGTGCTCGCCCAGGAGGCGCTCCGCTCCCTACCCATGCTCCACCATCCATCGTCCCCCTTCGACGAGACCCCCGGGTCCGGACAGACCCACGGGAGGCCCGAGGGAGCAGCGCACCCACCGCCGGCCTTCCTACAGTAGAGGAGGCCGGGGTGGCATAACTTTTGCTAATAAAGGCCGTCCGGCATTTCATCAGTACTCGTTGTCTGAGTCTCATTTGGGGGTACGTAACATGTGTAATGTGCTTCTGTTACTTCCCGAGCCCATAACGTTGCCCCGCTAGGCCTGCAGCCCCCTGAGCAGGGTGTGCAGTGTGCTACGCGGGCTACGAGCTCCGGTCCACTGATCCATGCTATGCCCTCCGAGAGAGGGGTCAAGCGGAGGGATCTGGTGAGTAGTGTTGTGTGTGCTTCGGCCGAACGTGCGTTAGCTCTTCTAAGCTACAAGGCTAAGCACGGGGTTTCCCACTCCAGGGGCTCGCCCCCCCTCCATGAGGCAAGAGCCAGGGGGGGGCGGAGCAGTCGAGTCACATGGCATGAGCAGGCCCGGACTTATGACGTCGGGCCTGCAGGACACTTGACCGCCCCGGCGCACACGGAATGACGCAGGGGGCCCCCCTGCCCTTTCGTTCACCCCCCCTCCCTGCTAGGAACACCAGGAGAAGGCGGGGCTGTGACGTCTCGTGTTCCAGTTCCCGTTCCGCCCCTCACAGACTTCTAGAGCATCTGGAGGGAGCAGGGCTTACTGTCGGATCCCTGGCTAGAGAAGACCATGCGCAGGAGCTACGCACTGCAATTCTCCCGAAAGCCACCGCCATTCCGGGGCGTGCGGGCAGCACGCTCTCAGGTACGGGGATCATTAGTGGCACTACAAGCGGAGGTCTCCTCTCTGCTGAGTCGAGGCGCAGCAGTAGAGGTAGACCCACAGGACGCCACCAGGGGGTGCCGCCCTTACTTCTTAGTGCCAAAGAAGTCAGGAGGGGTGCGTCCCATTCTGGATCTGCGCACTTTGAACGAGTGCATTTCCAAGCGTCAGTTTCGGATGCTGTCCACAAAACAGCTCCTTGGAGTGTGTCAGGCAGGGAGATTGGATGTCCTCCATAGTCCTGACAGACGTTTATTTTCACATGGAGATAGTTCCGGAACACAGGAAGTTCCTGCGCTTCGCAGTGGGAGAGAGGAGTTACGATTACTCAGGGGGGGCTTCGGTCGAGGACGTGTGCTGTGCGGCTTCTTGGGCTTCGTCCTCCTCTTTCGTCCGGTCTTACCTTTGCTATGTGTCGGACCGGTCGGTGGCCCATTCTGTGCTTAGTGCAGCGGATTGAGTTGAAACCGTGAGTTTCCTCTTCCGAGGGGGTCTACGGTTGACTTGTCCGCCCTGGTTCAGGAGCTCTTGGGAGTGGCGTCCTGCAGGTGCGGTATGTGTGTGCTTTTGGTCAGTTAGGTAGTCCACGTCAGGAGCTCTTGGGAGAGGCGTCCTGGGACTACGGGTGGCCTTCGGTCTGTGTTACTTGGGGGTGTCCTTGGGAGGAGCGGCCCTGTAACACGCAATTGATTATTCTTCTGCCCTGAGTCCTCTCACTGTGTGAGGGTCTTGCTCGGGCGGGGCTCCAATCACTCTTCGCTGGCCTGCTGGGAGTACATGTTCCTACGGCTTCCGCGTTGTGTCCCACTAGCGAAGTCCTAAGGGACGTAGCACCATGACGTAGAATTAACAGTTACCTAATGTAACTTAAGTTCTACGAATAGGTGCGTAGTCCCTTAGCTACGAGCCCATCAGGCCAGCCCGGCTTGGCAGAGTTCAAGAGGCCTTGTGCAGGGGCTTTTATAGAGGAGGGTCGCTAGTGATTGGAGCATATTTTTATATATTTGATTTCTCTGGCGTGTGACCTGGGGGTCACGTGATATCCCACTAGCGAAGTCCTAAGGGACTACGCACCTATTCGTAGAACTTAAATTACATTAGGTAACTATTAATTCCTCAACAACATCTTCCTCAGGCCACCGCAAAATGGGAAAGAATGCACCAACATCATTCTGAAACTACAGCTTTGCATGGTTTTGTTTGGATGAACAAGGAAGTAGAATTCTCCTCCGTGTAATGCTCAAACCATAGACTGTAAATATTAACGAACGTAGTCACGTCTCTCTCCGCCGTTATAACAGATTCATGGCTGCGGGGACTAGAAAATGTAAAAAAAAATCTGCGCATGCGTCAGCCGGCCCGAGCCCCATTTATTTGCGAGTGCTTTCAAAATTTCACAGCGACTAAACTAGACTGGTCCAAAAAAATATACTCCCCTCAGCATTGACACACATCTGGAACGTAGCGTTGAAGAGAGCCGACTTTTGGACCATCCTGTAAAGCCGTTTTTGAGAGGTCAGAAGATACGTACATTAGCATT